TCGTCAGCTCGCTGTGCCAAGTGGATCAAATCATGGGATTTCTTGGTGATGCAAAAATAATCTCCATGTAGACGTAGTGCAGCTTTCGCCGCTTCCTAGAGAGCAATGAACTCTGTAGCCACCGACTGAAGCCGCTGAGCCACCTCAAATTGTCCAACCGTGCGTATACACATGCATATAAACAGAACAAAAAATAACGAACGCTGATGATCTAAAAAGAAATTAAAGGGCCGGAAAACCCCACAAGGCAACTTCACGAGAAAGTGGTTAAGAGTGCCCCGACGTCAATGGCTAAGCAGTGAACGGACGCACCCCTTTTTCCACAAGGCGCTTGAGCCAAACATCCGGTCCATAGATTTGTGGACCTGTTGGCTGGTTTATTATGACACTATACTATGTCACAGTACATGCACAAACAGTGGATTCCCTACGAACATACTAGATGTCGTAAAAACAGGTCAGTACGAATGCATGCATATATGGAAGGAGCCTAATGGCTTCACAACCATGGCTTGTTGGCATAAGAGCTTCGATTGGTTGGTGACACGAATCCATGTATTTGGTGATACATCTGCTTGGACATAATTGGTGATATTGCATGAGTTTATTCTTCTCCCCCTTCTCGCTTTCTGCCACTGGATTGCAGAGTTCGAGCCTTATAGGAGAAACTCATGGTGGTTTGATGTGCATCAATTCGAGGGCCGTGTTCCACTTGCATGGCTCTAACGCCTTTGTAAACGGGTCTGCATGTTGCAAGTCTGTTTTGATGTACTGCAGTTTGACGTGTGGGTCTTCGAAAACTTCGTACAGTGATGACAGATTCAGTTTGTGGACCTTTTTCATATGTCGAAGTTTAGGGGAATATCCGCCATGTGCAATTTGGATTACTGAGGCATTATCTTGTTGACAAATCAGATCAATTGGTCTGTCCAAGACTGTCTCAAATAATTCTTGCATTGGCAATCCCTCTCCGAAAACACCGGAGTCTAAACTGATCATTTCAGCCTCGCATGTGCTGCGTGCAGTGGCTCCTTGGCGTTTTGAACCCCAGCATAACGGCCAAAAGGAATTTGGCCCTTCGAGCGTTAAATACATTCCCGAAGTAGACTTCACATCATGGACGCCTGATGCGTGGTCTGCATCCGTGTAAAGACATAGGCGCAAGGCTTTTGCATCGTCTGCGATTTTACCTTCAAGGACATAGGAAGCAGTACCCTTTAGGTATGACATTAACCGATAAAGCTTTCTGTCATCTGCTTTCGACCAAGTGGTAATCCGACGAGTCAGATCTGAAATTCCTTTCATTAAATCTGGTCTTGCGAACCTTGCACTCCATAAAATCTTCATGAGCACACGGGATGCATTTTCGGCCATTTGGCCACGATCTTCGAAATCGCTGTCTACGAGAGACCCTTCTGGGAGGTAAGGCGTTGCAGCTTTCTTGAGTATGCAACCGCTCAGTTCTTCGTAGGCTTTACAGGCGTTTTCTGCGAAATCTGTCATGTCATATTGCATAGTGGTTCCATGTTCGTCCCTGGAGATTTTGTGGTGTCTCCCCAAGATGCGATCAACTGGAGTTGGCTCCTCAATTTCAATAAGTTTTTGAACTTTCTCCCAAAAACTTTTGTGCTGATTTTCTGGGCCACTTAACACCATGTCATCAACATATAGTGTAAGTAACAAACCTGATTCCTTGATAAAGTATGTGGGTTGAAATGTATCAGCGCAGTGGATTGAACCGATCTCACGCATCATTTCTTTGAACCTTTGGTCCCAATGGTATCCAGCTTCTGGATGGCCGTAAAGGCTTTTCCACAATCGGACGCATGGTCTTTTGATTCCACGATACTTTTCTGGAACAAGTTCTATTGGCAATTCACCCATGTGGGTACCTTGGTATTTAGAAAACTTTGAGTATAAGCACGAACAACATCGCTCTGAGACGAAGTGTGCCCTTTCAAGCTCCCATACGCAAGATTGGCATTAATGCCGGCTAGCCCAGATGGATTTACCTTGGCCTCTTGCAGCACGGCTAGGTTGTTGTCTTGGTCTCGAATGTCGTCTCCACGGAAAATAATTCTTGCTTTTAGCCGTCGCA